TTACAATTAAAACTTTGAAGGCACTTATCACGCTGATTATGTTAACCCTTTTAACCGAAAATTTGTAAGTCTTTTTTGGATGCGTAGCGTTTTGTTTCAGAGGTCACCAATCCCTCCTGATTTCAATCTATAGATGCATTAATTAAACTCTCTCTCTCTCTCTCTGTCTCTGTCTCTCTCTCCAAGTCTGCTAAAACAATCTGAAGTTATTAAATTATTTTTCCAATGATGCCATTCAAAAAAAAAAAAAAAAAGCTAATCTTAGTAAAACAAAAAAAAAAAAAAAAATATGCACAAAATGAAACTGTCCTCATGCCCTCTCTGTGTCAACGTCAGGGATGATATATGAGTATTGCCTAAACTTTCAATAAATTAATGTCAGAACTGTCTAATGTAATTACATCAGCTTTAATCGTTCACCTTTTTTTTTTTTGCATCAGGTAAATTATCTGTGGTATACATACATTTCAGAGCATAATATATTAACCCAGTCTGCCCAGACAAAAGACCCCAGGACACGAAAACCGATAAACGGCTAAAAATAACCTAGATCTAGATTTTGCAACACCTGTGTTTCTCACGGTATAGACTAGATCCAGCCTTTGAGCCTCGATATAGAGATTGTCAAGAAATGTAGACGCAGTCAATCCTTAAATAAAAAATTTACTTAATGACTAGGTCAAGGAATAACTAAAAAGTTAATTGTCAACAGATTTTAAAAAATCATCCAAAATGTCAAATGTTGGAGATAGATATTCCTACATTCCGGTCTACATCTAGAATATTTCTAGATCTGTGTGATAAAACTGCTTATAGCTAAGCCATTCAGCGACTAATCATATCAATCAAATTGTTTATCTGTGTTTTCAAATTCGCATTTACTATTACTTAGTATAATACCTTATTTTACAATACCTCTATTCTAGTCAGAACTGGAACCTGGACGCGTCGTGGATCTCAAAAAAATGTTTCTAACGATTTTTCTAACCTACATTACTCTGATGGATAGGTACCACGACCTTTGACATTTGTACGTTTATGAAATGGGAGAGTCGAAGAAACTACTAGTGGAATTTAGAATCTACCAGGAAAAGTGAACAGATCATAATTATTTCTATAAATCTATTAATCTATAAATTTGCTAACATTTTAAGTAGAGAAATAAAGCCATTTTCTGACGCATAAAAAAAAAAAAGAAATCTTTCAGATATGCCATTAATTAATTGAGTACAGTAAGTAGTAAGTACTAGATTCGATTTAGATTTTTCGGTCTTGTGGCCCGCGACACGTGTGTTGGAAATTAAATTGGCCCGCAGTTTGAATTGGGTTGGGCATCACTGTCCTAGAGTATGCTTTATTGATTCAAGAGTTTTAATAAATTAATGTTCAGGACAATTTGACGCATCGTCTTGTTAAGTCTACATTTAAAGGCCTTTTACTGGAATCATTCAATTAAAAAAAAACAAAAAAAACATGGCGTAGTCAGACGTTAGCGTACCGATAACTGAGTTGTTTGTTAGTTGTAAAAATCACGTGTTCGAAACCCGGTTTGAATAAAAACAAAAACTTTAGTATTTTTTTGTTTTAAAATTTTATTACAATTAAAGTTACGAAATCGAAGTATTGTCTTTTTTTTTAAATGTATTTTTTTAATTTTTTGTTCTTGTTACATGCATAACCCACGTTTGCTACACACACACACATACACATGGTATTCAATATCCTACTGATTCACAATCTCACTCTGATCTAGATCTACTCGAAAACCTAAGAGCTTCCAGGCTTTTTTTAGGGAGCTACAAAATCAACAACTTGGCAATTGGGGTTTTAATTGTAAAATAAAAACTGTTTCTAGACATACACTAGAGTTACTTGGCAACAAGTCTATAAGGTTCATCTCAATGTAGGCCTATATTCTTAGCTATGCCGTCAAAATGTTTCCAACATTCTCACATTACTAAATACTGAACTATGTAAACGATCTGATTTCTCTCCTCTCCTAGTAGCTTAAGGCTAAGCTTATGTACAGGAAATATAAAGCAATGAATATGACAGTGTGATCGTGTGTCACCGGAGATGTGGTTATAGCTGCTAAATGTGTCATTCGGAGCTATTCATATCGTCCATCAATGAAAGCGTTTGAAACGATCTAGTTTTGTGTTAAAGGATGATGCAGAACGAAGGTTTAGGACTCCGGGCACATTTTACCCACTGACCCATGAAGCTTCAGGTCTCTATTATGCTCACGTTCAATCCTTTTGTTTTGTTCTCTAAAAAGTAGGCCTATTACTTTTTCTTCATTCAATGTTTCTTATCTTATAAATTACAGACGTTCACTTCAAAAACGAAATTAATCCATGTGTTAATTTAGTCGTGCATGTCAATTAGAGATTAGATCTGCTAAGTCATTGCTTTTCCTTGCTGATTTAGGTTACCCTTTCTAGGCTATAATGACACGAGGGAAGAAGGAGCACTACTTATACATATATGTCTGAAGAATGGGAATAAGAAATGTGCTTACTTTATGATACTTTATCTTTGTATCTTTTTCTGTTATTTTAGATTGTGTTTTTGTATTTGTAAGCCAGTGTGAAATGAATCTAACAATAACCGTTATGTTTAAAGTAACTAAATAAATCAAAATTTGGACGGTGATCAAGTTTATGAATTATTTTTAAATTTTTTTTTTTATTTCAAGTACAGTGTAATAGGTTGGAAATCTTAAAACGCACTGGCTGTGGGTCTACGCTGCTAGACCATCAATAGTCTAATTGACAGACACAAAAAATGCGAATTTTTTATTAGAAAAGTGCGTAAATGGGGACGAGAGGTCAGCCGAGCACTGACTCTGACCTCAACTGACCCTTGGAGAGTTCGTATTGTTTAGGCAACGCCAACTCAATCTCACAGAACTAAATATATTTGGTGACTAATGTATGTGTGAAAAAAAAAAGTTCTTAATTACAAATTCGGACTTGATCTCCGTCCGAAATGTTTGAGGCGCGGTGACTGAGTGGTAAAGCGCTTGACATCTGAACCGGCTGTCCAGTGGGAACCTGGGGATCTTTTGTCGAATCAGAGTCCACCCAGCTCTATAGATACCTGACATTAGTTGCGGAAGAGTAAAGGCGATTGGTGGTTGTGCTGGCCACATGACATCCTCGTTAACCGTAGGCCACAGAAACAGATAACATCATCTGCCCTATATACCGCAAGGTCTGACAGGGGAACTTTACTTTTTTTTTCTTTTTTTTTATTCAAAACTAATCTTTTATTATTGGTTTCCGTTGAACTTCTACTGCTAAAACTTATGATTGGTTCATGGGATGAAACGATAAGATAGTAAATTTTAGTCTAGAGAGCTGATTGAGATGGAGATGTTTAGTAGTCTACTAAAGTTAAGTTAGTATTTTAAAGATGGGCTATCAAACTGTTACAAAATCGAGTAAATGATTTCGTTTTTTTTCTTTCAAACTAATTAATAATTACATCACAGTCCAAGCCCCAAGCAACATTTTTGTTGTCAAGGAAAAAAACTGGGAATTAATTATATGCCATTTTATGTCCGTTGTGTCCTTTTATATATTTCTAGGAGTACATTTCTCTAGAATAAACAACTATTCATCAACAATCTTTCTAACATCACTTACAAAACCAAAGTAGCTTTGGAATTTTACCTTTTTTTTTCTGACTTCCTGATTCCTGATGTTTTTGTTATACTTTATTGTAGCCTTAATACTTAATACACTGAATTGTAGGTAAATACGGAAGGTATATACTTCCTGGATACATAGGCCTATATGCGTATATTAAAAGTAATATGCATTACAGGGAACAGAAAGTGTGCCCGGATCCCCCATATAAAATAGATTTAAACATTTTTGTGTGTAGTATTTTACTTGGGGTTTTAAGTTATACTCAGGGCTCGGTCATCTGGGTTTAAAAACTGAATGTTACAATCTTACATTACCCCTTCACTTTTACTTTCTCCCAACACACATAGTCACAGATTTGATAGAGAACCTTTGGGATTTACATTCCGGTAATCCTCTAAATCTTCACATATAACAAGTGGTAGTCTACAAAAAAAATATATCAGTTGAAATATTCCATTTATTTTAAGCTCTGACTTGTCTAGAGGATTCCCCAGAGAATACAGACTGATAGTGAAGAGTGACAAGGGCTAACTTGTACAAACTGATGCAGATCCGGTAAGTTGACGTTCAGGAAATTTCTTGTTTTTTTTTTCCTTGTGCGTTTATTTTTAGAACAATTACGCAAACATGAAAACACAGTGTTGACTCTGTCACCTCCTCGTTTGTTAGTTACTTCCAGTGGTTCTGCAATTATCTTAAGAAGGGTCTCTCGTTCCCTTTTGGCGGGTGGTTCAAGTTCGTATAATCTAAAAATACCAACGGGTATCTGAAAATCTATTTAGGTTTATGATATTATAATTTATAGTTGTTTTTTTATATTTATATGAGATTCATTGACACCTATATATGATAGTTAGTAGGTTTACTTTATCTAAATATTTTAGGTCTTCGCAACCTTCTAAATTAATACTAGCGCAGTCCACAGCAGCACTTGCAAAAATCAAAACAATCTGATATAAGACAAAGCTCATATTATTAATGAATTGTTCTTATATCTTAAGTATAAGTATAGGCTGCTAAATCATGTTAATATCACTCTACAGGTAGGGAAACTTAGACCTATAAACATTTAGAGTTTGATTGATTTCCTTCATCGCATTATATTTTGAGAATCAATATAATTTATAAATTTAGACACTGTTAAATCAATAATTTATAGACTCTCTAGATCTATAATGCTTAATAATAACATTCAAAAATATTTTTAACCTCTGTTTCCCGATGTGCTAAAAAAAAAAAGTTAATTTCAAAGTGACACTGAAATCAGTTAATGTTTTCCCCATTCTAGCCTCGCTTCAAGCTTAGTCGTGTCTCGCTTGCGGTGATTTTTTTCCCATAGCTATTTTTAAACACAAGTGCGGCAATCCTTGTGCTATAGCGAACCCACGTCTAGGGTTTAAAGGCAGACATGACCTCAACGCGACACTGAACAGTTTCCATTCCCTCACACAACATCGGATTATTTTTTTTTCTTCTCAAGCAGGACACTCAAGTTTCATCTCTCTTCTCTCTACCACTGTTGTTTTTAGTCAGAGAATAAAGAGTTCTTTGTTCGATAGGATTACAAAACCATGAACTAGTTACTAGATCTAGATATTGAGGCTTACATCTAGATATAAAGTTTAGATCCCAACACCACAGAAGACCAGTTTTACACTTATTTGGGTGAGTATAATAAAGATTCTAAATATTTTTCTCCTTGATCGATTCTTATCTAGATCTAGATATTAATATTGATTGTAGATCAAAGACTCTCGTAGCCAAAAAAAAATCAATCTAGCTACCAAGACTAGAAATAGTAGCCTTTCATATGTAAGCCTAATAGAATAATAGATCTCGGTCCACATCTCTCTTTCTCTCTCTCTCTCTCTCTCTATATATATATATATATATATATATATATATTGTAGTAAATGCATAATAAAGCACATAAAAAATTTAAACCTATATAGGCCTATTTATCAAATAATATTTATATAATTATATTATATATATATTTATATAAATCTAGATGCAGAACCTAGATCTAGACTATATTCTAAATTGTAGATATAGATGTGAATCTTTAAAAATAAACCAAAAATACAAGTCTTTAAAGGCTAGATCGAGATGTAGATGTTTAAATTACATTACATAGACCTAATTAAGTCAGACCTCTATATTTTAAATCACTTAAAATTTAAAATTATTCTCGTTATTTTATTAGTTTGATGAACGTCTGTAAATACGATAGACCCCGAATAATCCTGACTCTAGATGTTTTATAATTAACTCCTCAATTATAGATCTACATTTAGTGCTAAAACAACAAGCAACTTTCACATCTCATAAATAAACGATGCAATGTGAATACACTTATAATTAGGCCTATTTTAATTTGGCGGATATGCCATGGATCTAATGTTATAGCTGGTTGTAGCTGTATAACGTAACAGTCGAGTCTTTGTTTGCTGGGTATCATATAACTCCCATTCATTACTCCTATACACTAACACAAGCTTTAAACAATGGTGGAAATGATCGGCGATGAGTCATTGCAGTTCAGATGGGTTATCATTGTGATAATAGATGTAGAGTACATGTTTGCTAGTTTGCTTTTTACAAGAATAGAAAAGTACCATAGTTATATTGAGAATAAATGTAGGTAGTAGATCGATTTATTTCACGCCATTATAACCAAACTATGTGAAGTAGTTTATTCTCCTGTGCCCAGTCTCTCTCGTTCTCTCTTTCTGTCTCCTCCCTCTCCTCTCTCTCTCAAAGATATTATGACGAAATGTTTATTATCTTAAACTTGAGTGATGTCACTTGACTTCTCACTTGTTTACAAACAGTTCAGTGAACCTCTCTGGACTTTGTATCAAGTGTTAGGTCTTCCCGATGTTTTAAAAAGTAGGTAGACCTGACATAGTAGGCCTGTTACTCCCACCACTATATAACCTACTTAATTATCTCATAATGACTGCATTGGCATATATATATATATATATATATATATACATCTTTAAAAAAAATACTTATTAGCGTTATCGCTAAATGTTTACTTATAAGGCAACATTTTTGTACATCTTTTATTTGTTAACCTGCACACTTTACGGACTGAGTGAATAAGCTGATTCCTTAACTCTAACATAGATCTGGTGAACTTGCCAGCAAGTCTATAAGCCTATGAGTCTATGAACTAATGTTAGCCTTTATTTTATTATTATTTTTTATTTTTGAAGATTTGTAAATCTCTTGTCCTTGTGATGAAAATCCATCCGACCTAGCCTTATCCGAATTCTCCACTTTTTCATTTTGTTTTTACAAGAGAAATTGTGGAGGCCGATGATGTGTGTGTGAGACTCGCCCCTCCCCCAACCTTAAGCTTGACTCCAGCAACTCATTTATTACATGTGAAAGTTCGACCATATGAAAAGTGCCAACAAAGTTTAATGTGAATCCAACAGAGTGATAAACAATTCGATGTATCTCAAGCTGTTGTATAGATAAGCTTTTTGTTCTACTATCACCCGGTTTCTTGTTGTTTGTTTTACAAAAAGGGTGGGGGTCATAGTCAGAGGGGATAGATAGAAATTGTGATAAAATAATTCTTCAATGAAAAGTGAAGGTACGCTTTAGTTAATAGCTAAGAAAACGGGTCTACTATGAGGCTATTTACTATATTGAATTCACTAACACTAAAACTAGAAGCTAACTTGTCTTCATAGGTGACTGAATTCACTAGGCTTGACATAAAACTGGGAGCTTGTATGATCTGTATTCACTAGGCTTGACCTAAAACTGGTATCTTGTATGATCTGTGCAGGAAAGAATGTTACTCAGCATGCCAGGTGGAATCTGGAGTATGACCTAAATACTTCCCAGCCCTCCTCTTGTACAGAATTACTGTCTTCCTGGCGTCCATGAAGCTCTTTACGAACGACTGTTTCGTACTTCAATTCATTCGACTTTTTTATTCGTTATTTCTTTCTCTTTCTTTCTTTCTCACCCCTCCCCCCTATCTCTGCATCTCAGACAAACTATCGACATTGTTGTCCATAAAGATCTCTCATGAATGATGGCTTCTCATTTTACTTTAGGCCTATTCTTCCTTTACGTATTCTCCCCCCCCCCCCTTCTCTCTCTCACCTAAAAAGCGAAACTTTAATATAAAAAAAAAAAGACGTCTGCGATCGCTAAAAAATAATCTGGGATTTACATGAGCTTTAACTCGTCAACAAATGCTTATTTGAAAAACATTCTCTCATTCATCTGTACCTGCTTTTGTTTGCTTTTTTTTTCTTTTTTATTTCCCAACCTTTAACCCCCCCCCCCCCCAAAAAACAAAAAAAAACAAAAAAAAAAAACATGCATAAGAGGAAATAGACAAGTGTTTCTAAGTTATTGCTTACACCGCTCTACATCGTAGACAAACTGCCTGCTTTGTGAGGCCGATGTCCGACTGTATCTGACTCGGGTCACTCTAGTTTTCCCTGTTTGCCCCTTCCTATCTCTGCCTGCCCAGGTGCTAATCTCAGTGTTTATTTCTTAACCCAAGTCTTTGATCTGTAAGATTGTCGCCCTTCCATCTTGTTGTGGCCGAAGAGCTTTGCGATTTTACTTTCGTTATATTATATATACATCCTGAGCATTGAACTTCAAGAAAAACACCAGAATAGATCATTTCCCCCATAAATCTTCACATTTTTAAATATCATAAACCTGTTTTTTTATTATATAAAGTATATATATATATATAGTATGTATATGTCATACATAGGAATCAACATTGTTCATCCTATCTTTATGTAAATTAGTATGAATATGGTATATGTTAGATCCACTCCATCACCTTCACCACAGGCAAGCCGTGTATTTCTGAATACATAAATATTAAAGATCTATAGCTATTGTAGGCTATCAATATATGTACAAATAAGAAAACTATTGTCTGAATGTTAATCAAGTTTTTCTTGTTAAATAGATATCGGAATTTTATTTTTAGAAAGTCCTTTCACTTACCAATCCCATCGAGCACAATAGACAATTGAACATTAATTTTTTAAAATTATTATTTGATTAGCTATTTATTGAGTGGCAGCTATTTATACATAGTGTAAATCTTTTGTTTGCCTAGGATGTGGCAAAAAATGTAGGTCATAGTTAGGTCTCTATAGCCACCTGACGTACTGCACTCCTCCTAAATTAAAAGGTTAACTGTTTGTTGTTTGGCCTTATATCTTCAATAATAACTGACGACGTTTATTGATGATTTTCAAAGAAAATTTGGTTATCATCAAATTAAACATTTTTAAAATGTCTTACCTTTCTTGTGTATTTAGTGAAACAAGAGTGATTAGAGTTGTATTTATTTATTTTCGTGATCTTGTAGGTTTCTATGTTTTGACACGAAATGTTTCTTTATCTGAAGTAATCGCTGATAGTGCATATGCAAATTTATTGAGTATTTTCAAAGGAAAAAGAAATATTTTCTAACTTTGGAGTCTTTGTCAAGGTCAATAATCTTTTTGTTAAGTATGGATTAAAAAAGAAATTAGATTTATCAAGCTTTAAAGTTTCGCCAGTCAAACTTTGTGTTTTAAGTGATAGACAAACATCCGCCACATTCTTTAATATTGTTATTATTATTAAACATTGCAACTCGAGCATTATCAACATAAATAGGCTATGTAAAAAAAAAAGTCAAAAGGGTACAAATAAAGTGGTACAGCTTTTAGAATATTGTCATATGTGTAACGATCTTCTGATTTTCCTAGTTTAATGTCCAAAAAAAAATGAAAGAAAAAAGATTTACTGTTCCAGGGGAGAACAACTTTATACAAAATTCAATAAACCTACATATAAGAAATTATGTGTTGAGTGTTAATTGTGTGCCCTGTTCGTTTGTTTGCAGTTGATGAAGGCCTCGTGGCCTAAGCACATGTATCTTGTTTTTACTTTGGTCCAGTAGGGTTTCTTTTATGTATATTTATTGTATTTTCTAAATTAATGTCGGCCCTTTTTAGAGCCACTGTAAATTACAAAATGACGTAGGTGTTCTTTTTTCAGGAATTTGTCCTCGATTGGCCTTCCTTTGATTTTAGGTTCTTCATGACCTCCATAAATATTAAATTATTTTTTGGTTCAATGTCACATGAGGCATGCTGTAGATCGTGCTATAAATATATTTTGGACATATCCTTAACAAAAAATTATGACTAAATCATTTTACTGTCCAACGCTGGTTACTATTCGATTGATTATCACTTTATTGGGAATTTCCGTTTGTTTGTTTTTTGACTGGGTAGTTTCCATTACGATCAAAGGTGTACCAATGCACGTCATGCGGTATTTCCATATCAAGGCGTTGTTATTTTTTTTTTCTGTACAGATATTAGAGCATTGTCGTTTAGATAAATATCAACGAACACAATCATATATACCCCCCCCCCCCCGCCTTACACATACTCATACGAACACACGTTCACAGAGTCATATTCAGTAGGTCAAAAGTTATTGATACGAACATGTCCCTTCTACTTATTGCTGTTCATACATAACTTAGAAATCATTGATTTACCCTACATATTTTGAATTTCTTTCTCCATTTGAATAAAACATTTGGAAAACAGATTGAATGTTACTTATGCATTAA